TCTTTCGGTTTTTATCTGGCATTTTAGGTGCTCATCCAAGTGCTTAGAGATATAATCATAGAGATGTAGAGCACAGAAACAGACCCTTCGGTCCAACTCATCCATGCCAACCAGATATTCAAAATTAATCTAGTCCCATTTGCTAGCATTTGGCCCAAATCCCACTAATCCCTTCCCTATTCATGCCTCCTTCCAGATGCCTCTTAAATGTAGATGTACCAGCCTCCACCAGCTCTTTGGCAGCTCATTCCATACACGCACCATCCTCTGTGTGAAAGGTGCCCTTTAGGTCCCTGTTAAATCTTTCTCCTCTCATCTTAAATCTATGCCCCCTAGTTTTTGACTCCCCTACCCTGGGGAAAAGACCTTGACCCTATCCATGGCCCTCATGATTTTATAAACTTCTATAAGATCACCCCCTCAGCCTTCAATGCTCCAGGGAAAATAGTCCCAGCCTATTCAGCCTCTCCCTGTAGTTCAAACCCTCCAACCTTGGCAACATCCCTGTAAATCTTTTCTGAACCCTTTCAAGTTTCACAGAGAGACCAGAATTGAACACCATATTCCAAAAGTGGCCTAACCGATGTCCTACAGCCGCAACACGACCGGCCAACTCCTATACTCAATGCACTGACCAATAAGGGCAAGCGTACCAAATGCCTTCTTCACTACCCTGTCTACCTGTGACTCTGCTTTCAAGGAACTATGCAGCTGCACTGCAAGGTCTCTTTGTTCAGCAATGTTCCCCGGGACCTTACCATTAAGTGTCTAAGTCCTGCCCTGATTTGTCCTACCAAAATGCAGCACCTCACATTTAACTAAATTAAACTTCATCTGCCACTCCTCAGCCCCTGGTCCTTCTGATCAAGGGCACATTCTACTCTGAGGTAACCTTCTTGGCTGTCCACTACACCACCACTTTTGGCACCATCTGCAAACTTACGACCCATACCTCCTACATTCACCTCCAAATCATTTATATAAATGACAAAAAGCAGTTCTTAAAAGTTGCAGAGGTACTTGCCTCCACCACCCTCTTAGGCAGCACATTCCATATTTTACCACCCTCTGGATGAATTTTGTTTCTCTCAGATCTCCTCCAAACCAATCACTCCTCACCTTAAACTTATGACCTCTGATCCCAGGCACATCTGCCATGAGGAAAGGATTCTCATGATCTACCCTGTCTATGCCTCTCATAATTTAGTATACCTCAATCAGATCCCTACTCAGTCTCCTCTGCCGCAAAGAAAACAAACTCAGCCTCTTCAGTCTCTCCTCATAACTGAGACTTTTCATCCCAGGCAACATCCTGGCGAATCTCCTCCACATTCTCTCCAGTGCAATCATGTTCCTCCAATAATGTGGCAACCAGAACTCAGTACACAGTATTCAATCTGTGGGCAAACCAATGTTTTATTAGGTAGAAACAAGTATTTCTTGCTCCTGTATTCTACACCCTGGCTAATGAAGGCAAAATTGCCATCTGGTCCCAATCACCAGGCTGGTGCATCCTTCTTTGTTTCTTTTTATTTCTTCATTTACCTTTCATATCAGACTTCATGTTATCTACTTTCTGCGGCTATGGTGAACGAAGGTAGTTGTGAGGGGCTTTTGTGGTGGCAGTGGCATGGTGGATCCCATCTAGTCCTCATGGCCATGGCGGCCACGGCTTCAGTGTTGGTGACATGGTGGGTCCGGTCCATTCCTCCTGGCCATGGTGGCGATGCAGAGGCTACAGCGTTGGTGGGGTGATGGGTCAGTTAGTTCTTTCTGGATATGGTGGAAATACAGAGGCTTCAGTGGCAGCAATATGTGGTGGGTCTGGTCTGTTCCTCCTTGCAGTGGCGGCGATTCAGCGACGGCAGTGTGATGGGTTCAGCCTGGGAATCCATGCGGCAGTGGCAAAGGGTGTGCTGCAGCAGCAGAGACATTAGGGGTCTGGTCCATTGCTCCTTGCTATGGCGGCTTCAGCAGCAGTGCTCCGGAGTTCCTTCAGAAACCCAGGAGATGCAAAGGGAACAAAAGATGTACTTTAACTTAATTATTTCTTCTTTTATATTTTCTGTAATTAAAATGGCACCAGAGTATGGTGACTTGAACATTTCTCACTACATTTTCCTAAATACAAGTGACAATAAATTTCTATAATATTATACTATTTGTCCACTTCTGTTGACACCTTCAGGGATCAATGGACTTGTACACCGAGGTCCCTTTTTCCCTCAGTACTATCTGTGGCCAGTGAAGTTTTTAATATCTCTGCCAGGGCCCCAGCAATCTCCTCGTTTGCCTCCCATAGCAGCCTGGGGTACATCACATCAGACCCTAGGGATTTATGCTTGTTTATGCATAAAATATCCAATACCTCCTCCTTATTAATCTTAACATGTTCTAGAACCACTTCATTCCACATGAAATCCATGACCATAATGTCTTTCTGCTCTGTGAGTACAAGTGAGAAGCATTCATTTAAGGCCACACCTGCACCATCTCACTCCACATACAGTTTGCCCCTTTGGTCTCCAATAGGTTGCACTCTTTCCCTGGTAATCCTCTTATTTTTAATATGCTTATAAAAAGCATTGAGTTTTTCCTTGATCCTGTCTAAGCTATTTTGCAGCTCCTCTTTGCCCTCCTTTTCCTTTTTAAGCAACCTCTCATACTCTCTATACTTTTGAAGGGCCTCCCCTATTTTTATTGTGCTGCACCTGGCCTGTGCTTCCTTCTTTTTCTTTATCAAACTCTCAATATCCCTTAACATCAAGGGTTCCCTGGACTTGCTCCCCTTGCCCTTCAATATCAGGGGAACGCACTGGGCCTGAATTCTCACTATGCTACTTTTAAAAGACTCCCACTTTCTAAATGAAGAATAACAACTTTCCTTTTATGTTCAATTCCTCTCATAACAAAAAAGGATAGATCCTATCAACTTTCTTGGTTACAATCGCTATCTGCAAATTAACTTTTTGTGATTCATGCACGAGAACACCTTCCTTATGTCTTACTCACAACATAATTTTTACACATCTTGGTGTCATTGAATTTAGCCACAATGCCTTGCTTCCCTCCTCAAAGTCATTGATGGGTCACATCTTGTCAATCAAAGACCCATTTATATGTACTTCTTTCTTCAGACAGCCAGCCAGCCACTCTTCTAGCCATCTCATATTTACCCCCTATACCAATAAGCCTTTATTTTCTGCAATAACTTTTGATGGGGCACCTTATCAAATGCCTTCTGAGATCCAAGTATAGTATGCCTACAGGTTCTCCTTTACACAGAGTACATTTTACTCCTTCAAAACACTGCAATAAATTGGACAAAATAATCCTCATCTTTGTCACCCCATTCACTATTTTCAATAGTCACTTCCTCCATTCAGAAAGTACAGTTGCAGCAGTACATACCACTTGGAAGATGCACTGCTGCCCACTCAGCAAGGCACTCCAAACCTACAGTCTCTTCCACCAAAAATGGACAAAGGGATCAGATGCATGGAAGCACCACCACCTGCAATGTACTCTCTAAATCAAACACAGTGCTGGCTTGGAATAGGTTAACTGTTCCTCCACTGTCGCTAGGTTATAATCCTGGAACTCTCACTTCACAACACAGGCTGCACAAGCACCTATAACACATGGACTGCTGCAGTTCAAGCCAGCGGCTCACCACCACCTTATCAAGGGCAATTAGGAATGATGGAAAATGTGCTGGCCTCTTCAGCAACATCCCATAAATGAATGAAAAATATTTATTTTGAATGGAAAGCAACACCACACAAAGAAAAAAGAAGGAAGTGGCAGAATTCTTGAGGAATGTTGTCACCTTGCTCATCCTGTCTCCTCCTCTGATGTAAGCAGAAACTGCCACAAATAGCAAAAATGAGGTAGAGCTGCACTGACTCAGGCATCACTCCAAAATCTTCCCATACTGCCTCAAAGAATGCAACTTTATGCTAAATCTGCCCCAGAATATTCACCCTAACACCTAACTTCCATGAATCCAAAGTGATTAGACGTCAAAATGTGGAAATGTCCATTTCACTGATGTCAAGTTACACTCAAATCTCATTGAATATGGACAAATATTAAAAATAGTAAAAGTCTATATAATCAATTCTTCAGGGCACACAGAATGTGAAAACTCAGATCATTAATTTTCATACTTAATGATGTTTTGAATTATTTTAACAATATACACACCTCCATCACGGCATATTTACAAACCTACATTTGGAAAACTTTTCACAAGCTTTCATCATTGTTTATGCTATTCCCATAAAAATGTATTCAAAAGTGAGCAGTAATAATAACATTATGAAAATGCTCAAACATGAAGGTAAAATATTAGGAAATTTACTGTTTCTTGCTAAACCTAAAAATGTGTTTATAATCTAAAGCAAGTCTCAGAGAAAGTACAATTATGGTAAGCTCGTTTATGAGACTCGACAATTTAGGGATGGAACTAATTCTAAGAAGAACTGTAATGTTGAACTTTCTAATTTATTTCTTTATTTGTCTATTTTTGTACCTAGATTTTGTGCCTAGGTAGTTTTGTACCTAAGATGGTACTGGGTTTAGAACTTTGTACACTTTTCACTGTACTCCAGTATTCCTGTACTTGAGTGCATGTGACAATAAAACCCAATCCTAATTCTTCTATGGGTAGAAATATGGTTGCGCAATAGGATCAATATGTGTTCATAAAAGATTGAGAAGAGTGGAGAATAATTTCCTTGCACACATAATTCTGGGATCTTTTCACCTGCATATATGGCTTTTATTTTGTTTACGCATTTCTGTTGCGCAGAGATACTGAGGAAATTCGAGGTCAAAGTATTAACTCATTCTCATTTTCTTGTTATTTTTTAACTACTTTAGTCAACCAGGAGGAGTTCCTTTGCAATCTTGATTCAGACATTGATTAAATACAACAAGGTTGTGTATTTAGAATCACAGTTTCTATTTGAATCAAGCTGATCAACTAGAAAACATACCTGGATGTGATAAACGAATTAACGAAATGTAAATATCATGGCAGTCTCTTTCTTGTGAAATGATAAACTGGATGACCTGGAAGTTCTTGCAGCGAATAAGCAGGGGACAGCCTGTTGCTGTAGTTCCTTGCTTTTCCACAGCACAGATCTGACTGTGAAGTATCTAGTGAGAGCAGTAAATAAACCATAAGTTATTTGTAAAATATTTCCTGGTTATTTTTAAGGAAGTCATTATAGGGTGCAAATGGAAGTATACGTTTTGCCTCAGGAACATACAAACAAAAGAAAAACAGAAAGTCCTGCAGAAACTCAGCAGATTTGGCAACCTCTGTAGAGCGAGAAACAGAGTTAACATTTCAAGTCCAATAGAAGGGTCACTGATGAAGCAGCTGAAGATTATTGGGCATAAAACACTTCTGTGAGGAACTCCTATAGAGGATGTCCTGGAGATGAGCTACAATGACTGACCTTCAACATCACAACCATCTTCCTTTGTACTGAAGAATGACTCCAACTAGCAGAGAGTTTTCCCCAGTTCCCAAATTTGCTAGGGCTCAGGTCAAATGTGGCCTTCCTGTGAAGGGCTGTCATGCTAACCTCTCCGTTAGAGTTTTGCTCTTTTGTTTTTTTTAAATTCTTTATTCATTCATGGGTTAAGGGCATCATCAGCCAGACCAGTATTTATTGCCCATTCCTAATTGCCTAGGCAGCAGTTAATCACATTGTTAACCAATGTTAACTACATTGCTGTGCGTCTGGAGTCACATGCAGGCCAGACCAGGTAATGTTTGAAACAAGGTGTATGGACATAGGGAGTTGAGTGTCCCTGCTGGAAGTCAAACTGAGTGGAAGTGATCAGATTATTGCTAAGGAAATGCTACTTAATAGCGCCCATCTATCACTTTACCGATGATCAAGAGTAGACTGATGGGACAATAGATGGCTGTGGTAGATTTTTGCTATTCTCATGTACACAGCATGCCTGGGTAATTTTCCACATTGCCAGGTAGGTACCAGTGTTGCAGTATATTTCCCCTTATTCTAAGACATCTTAATAGTGAAGATAGTGAACAAATATGATCACGTGCAATGCAACATCTAACAAAATACTTAAGTATTTATCATCAAAGCAATACAGTAAACCTTCAAATAGCCACTCAGTTCTGCCATAGCTAAATATAACTTACCCATGTTTCTTTCCGAGAGTCAGACAAATGCTCCACAAAAATCAAATGTGTTGCTGTCAGATACAGTGAACCAATTGATGCCTTCTTTGATGAAACCCGATCCAGCAAGCGGACATTTTCAACCTACAAGCATAAACAAAAGTTAAGTGCAAGAAAATAAAAGTAAAATACACATCTGTTGAACCAATTGAAGAGTTGCTAGCAATCAGCAATCCTAGAAGGCCTTTAAAGAATACAAACTGTATTAATTGTATAAACGAATCCCATTTTTTAGTCTTCAGTCAAACAACATCAGTTTATTATGTCAACCTTATCTATAGAGCAATATAGCATTTGCAGTTTACGCCAGTTTGGTTACTGAGCTGCAATGGGTACAGTTAAGATATCCAAAGGAAAATATTATAAGATGTATACATAGAATTTCACAGTAATTAACTACAATATCACTGAAAAATGGCACATTTAGTTGAAGTTTTTCATCTTGCACTCATCAGGACAATTTGCAAGAATATCAATTTGAGGAAAAATAAAGAGTACTTATACTGTATGAGGGGAGACTGCTGATTCCTTGGCAAGTGGACTCTGATTGGTAGAGGCATTGCCATGGAGAATGTACCAGTAAATAACGTTTAACGAGACTGTGGTCAAAGCATTGATCTGAGAAAAGAATCAGTGAATGGTTGTTATCTATTTTATTGATTTGAAGCAGGTTTTGATTGTGTACATATTCTTTCAATCTGCAAAGAATACAGTCCTATGTGTTAATGATTTAGATTCCAGTACATGCAAGTGTGCCACACATCAAGTCTGATTGACAATTTCAAACTGGTTGTCAGCATAATTCTTCACTGGCGCAATCTCCATATCACCGCTCATTCTTCAAAACTCTGAAGAATACAGACCAAGTCTTCTATTAAGACAATCCACTATCTCAGGGATTAATTGGTAAAACGCTGTTGCACTCCCTCTGTGGAAAGTAAATCCTTTCTTAGTTGAGGGGACCAAAAACACACAATAATCCAGGTGAGGTCTCACCAAGTCTTGCTGCAATTGTATGGTCTGTCATTCTACTCCTGTCAATCAATCTACTCCTTTCAAATTCCTTTGTGATGAAGGCCAGCATACTAGTTGTCTTCCTCGTTGTTTGCTGCACCTTCATGCTAGCTTTTAATGACTCATTAACAAGGACACCCAGATCCCTTTGGACACCAACACTTTCCAACCACTCACATTTAAGAAATATTCTATCTTTCTGTTTTTTTCTACCAAGGTAAATAGCTTCATACTATTCACTTTGTATCCTATCTGCCATGTTCTAGCCCATTCAATTCGCTTGACCAAATTCTTTTGAAGCCTTCTTGTTCACTCCTCATACTCATGTTCCTAAATTGTCAGATGTCATCAGCTGTGAACTCAACATTTAAACTTTGTCGTACCCCATTAATAAGAGCCTGCCATCCTGAGAATGACACCAACTCAACATTGGAAATGACTAAGACACAAAGCAGAGGGCTAGATGCCAGATGCACAAATGATATTAAAACATGTAAAGTGAAAGTTTTCACACAGCTGAGTGATCCTAGAAGCCTCCAGTTATTAAGCGCACCTCTGCTCTCACAGGTCCTCTGGACCTTTGCCTAGTCTTCCCTTCCATGAAGCTCCTCATGGACCATAACAGGATATTCACTCTTATCTTCCTCCACAGAGGATTCCTGTCTCTCCTGCATTTCTTCCTCATCTGACACATTTCCTGATTACTGATCCAGATTGTGGATGGCACTGCACAGCACATCACAATGATGCAGGAAACCAAGTGGCTGTACTGTATGGTTCCACCTGACCAGTCCAGGCACCGAAACCCCACCTTCAGAATGATTTGTTCCACAATGACCCTTATCGAAACATGGGCAGCATTGTACCTTTGTTCTGCAACTGTCTGATGATTTCTGGAGGAACATGATCTAAGATTGAAACGGATAACCTTTATCTACCAGCAACCATCCTTGTATTGGCCAGGGGGCTTGGAAAAAGGCTGGGACCCATCATTTTTCAGTACATATGAGAGGTGGAAGCTACTGGCCACCTGGCACAGAACACCAAAATTTGGCTGCTTTAGTCACAGATCGTTTTAACACTAAGGGAGTGGAGTCATTTTACTGCTCATAAACACTCTTGGCCTTGGTTATCTGGCTTCAGCTGTTCTACAGCCACCCAAACAGGCTGATAAGGGTATTTTTATTTTGAATTTGAAGAAGTTAGAGATAAGGCATCTCCACCTTCAATCATATTCTCCCTTAGGTAACTTGGGGTAAAAACAGTGTCTCCTGCTTTACAGCTGGAGGACCTTCTCATATTTCAACTTGAAACCAACTCCTCCACAGTGTTTCAATGGATTTGGAGCCAATACCCACAGGCAAAGGAAGTGTTCTTTTCCTATATCCTGGGGGGATGTTTTAATGGGAATGGTGGGAAATGCATGTGGCAGCACTGTGCTACTAGAGTAGTCAATTTCTGACAGAATTATTCCATCTTTCCAGTTGGCAAGCAGTGTTGGGCCAATAGTGGCTCAGTATTAAGTGAGTTTATCTATATCATGTCAAGGATAGACTAAGTGCAATGTCAGGTCTTTGGTGGGAGAAAACAGAGTTAACGTTTTGGGTCCAGTGACCCTTCCTCAGAACCAGACCCAAAATGTTAACTCTGTTTTCTCCTCCACAGATGCTGCCAGACCTGCTTAGCTTTTCCAGCAACTTTGTTTTTGTTCCTGATTTACAGCATCCGCAGTTCTTTTGGTTTTTATTTTGTCAGGTCTTTGGTTTTTGATATCACAAACACAGAAAGTAAAACCTCAGCTTAAAAATTTAGCTATAATATCAACTGCCCTGCACTCCTAGTTAATAAAAGTAATTTTATTTAGGTTACTCACAAACATATCTGCAATTTTTATAATTAGAGCACAGACGTCTCCCTTTTCTATGGTTTGATTTAGCTAATCATGGAAAATAGTACAGCTTTTTAAAATTCACTGTAATAAGAAATATTTGATGAAGGTACATTCTATCAAACTTCAAAAGATATACTTTTACAGCGGTCTAGCACGTTGCAGCAACTCCATAAAACACAGTGAAGCTTTCCCACCATCCTGCTGATATCTTGGCTGTTCTTCTTGTAAGACATGGTATGTACATTTTGACAGGAACAAGGAAAAAAGGATACAATAATGTGCAAGAAACATCTGTGCTTTGAGCTAGTTAGCACACAGAAGAAACCCCGAAAGCATGTCACCAACATACACGGCCATCCAGAGCAAGCAAAAGATGAAGAACTATGATATAAGCAAGCTGGATTTCATAATGTATGAAACGCTTTGTCTAATTTAAAACAACAAGCACAATATCAGTTAAGAAAATACCTCCCAAACTGCTCTAAGTCACCTATAAAAACAGTTATCCTCTGGAAGTGCTGCTGTGAGGTGCAGCGAAAATCTCATAAAGAAGAATCGATGCAGTTGCTTCTGTAACCCAGTAGGGGTTTTTCAACTTGTGGATTGACAGATTGGATTCAATATAAAAAAAAGCTTTGGGAGCACAATAAATCAATCCCACAAACCACTCAAGAAGTTAGTTATCTGTGAAGCACAACCATGCTATGTGATAATCAACGCTATTTTTGAATATAGCTACGCTTTTAACCTTGAGTTTTTTGACCTGCAAATGCTGGAACCATCCCCCCAAAATATCTGTTGTTTTACCCGATATTAATGACAAATAAAGTTAAGACTAGCATAAAACACCATTACAATACAAGAAAAAAAATCACAGCTTCAAGCAAAGGAAGATAAAAATAATTAGTAAAGAGCCTAGTTTTAAGTGCAAGAGTTGTTTTCCTTATATAGTGAATCAACGAGGGTTTTATTGAGCATATACTGTTAGATATCATTCTCATTTGTAGAGCATAGCATTGCAGTTCTTATTGCTCATCACAAGTGAATATATTAATACTGAAGAAAATAGATTTTCAATTTTTTTTCTAAACAAGAATCAAGCTCTTTATGTGCATTACATTACAAGCAAAACACAGGATAAAGCTTTTTTTATGCAGTTCCAACAAACTGTCAAGCCCACAATCCCTTTCTGCACCAGTGTAATTTTTCCGTTTCCCACACCAGTCACTGTTATCTTGTCTTTCGGTGAGATTTTTCAGACGTGCCATGAATTAATGCTCACTAGAAACTAGGTCAAACTGCATGCTTGTTTCACATCAACCTTTAAAGCCAACAAATAGAATTTTGCTTCATTTTGGGCTTCATTCAAACTCCTTTGGTCTGAGTATGATTGCCAATTCTGGGCCATTTTTACACTTCGCCAACTGGAGTCAGACTGAACCACCACTCCACTCCCAAAGAAAAAATAGGATGGTGTGGGCAGCCTGTAGGAGCTTTCAAGATTGTTTGTTTAGAAGTTCAGATTTGTTGTTCTGGGATTTCCTCACTGTTACAATAAAATCATGACGTGGAGATGCCAGTGTTGGACTCATGTGGCCGGAGTCAGAAGTCACAGAACACCAGGTTATAGTCCAACAGGTTTATTTGAAATCACAAGCTTTCAATGTGCTGCTTCTTCGTCTGGTGAAGGAGCAGCATTCATAATAAAAACAGTAAGGTAATTTAGTACTCGACTCGCACAGCCCCTCAGCTACTTCAGGCTCCCATGCCCCATCCATGCCGATTCATTCGACTTCATGCCTCATGAGCCACCCCGTAGCCTCTCATACCCTCGTGCCAACTCCTCCACACTATACATCCCTATGTCCTTTTATAGCCCCCTATGCCTACTATGCGTCAACTCATGCCAAGTCATGTCCTCACCCACTGCACTTTACTCTTATACCTTCCATATTAATTCACCCAGTATTCACCATGGGCAGACCTCAAGAGCCATGCGGAGATTAAATAAACTTCTAAATGCCTATTACAGACTTCACTACATTTAAGGAAACTAATTATTAAACATTTAATTCAATACATTTAACTCCCTTCAAGTAATTAACATCTTACAAAAAGAAACATTTGTATGCATAGCCCCACATAAAAGTCGGCTAATCCCTTTATAACCATTTCGGAC